TTTTTTAAAACTAAAAGAAATGAGAATATCTATTTTATGAAGTGGTTGTGTGATTGAGATAATATGTATTATACACTGTACACATTCCTGGTACACAGTGAACACTCAATAATTGTAATCAATCATTATCAATCCTCAATAGCTTCTTAGATAGCCTATGATCCTATGGACCTCATAAGTGTGGCCTCCTCATGATTCACAGAAATCCCTGAAAACCATTCACTTCATTTGCCGTTATCCTCTGAAAGCCAATTTTGTAGTCTTGATTATAATAGTGTAAACCAACAGGGTGATTTCCTGGATAACCTATTCTTTATTCTTTCATCTAGCATCAATGCTCATAGGTTTGTTGCTTTCATGCAACTACCTCTCCACTATATATACACAATTAACAATAATTCTATACATACTTACATTATTTGTGAGCAATATGTTCAAAAGCATTGACTTTCGCTCAAACTATTCCCATAGCAGAATAATAATCAGCACACATTCAGAGAGGAGTGAATTTCCTTACCAATGCTTGCAGGATGTGAGTGACTGTTGACCAAAGACTAGGTGCTACAACATGCCTATGAGGAATTTATAGTAACATGAAATAAGGCGACCTTGATAGCACCCACATTTGGACTCAAGGATCTCCAAAGGGGAAGCACCTGAAGGTTGGGACTCCGGTCCTGATTTCTGGAAGTTTCCATGGGAGCTGCAAAACACTCGCCTCTGTTCCTGATTGAATTGTAGCGGAGTCCTCAGAAAAAGAGATGCTTTTCTCTGATGGGCTCCACCCAGTTGGCAGCTCCTAAGGGCTCCCTGTAGGGCTGGGTTGTGACCACTCATGCATGCCCACCTCCACTGGGAAGGAGAGACAAAGCAATTGTCTTTTTCTATTTCTGTTCTCATCCCAGCGGGATGCACAATTCGGCAACACAGTCAGCCACAGGGCACACCCCTGGGACAACATCTCTCATTACAGCCCCTGAATACTTGGCATTATTTGAATTTCATGAATCCCAGCACTGGCCTTGTTCCCCAGTCTCCAGATGGTTCAGGTGATCCTGTCAGGAAGCAGGACCTGTGTGACAATAAAGAAGCTCCTGGAATTAACCTCTGTGGCTCAGCTTCTCCCCAGTGTAATGTGGGTCCCTTGTGTGGCAGCAGAAGTGGGAAGAAAGGACCTTGGACAGTCAGCTGATTGCAGGTGACACTCCAAGGTGTGGAGATGCTGTGGGGAGCTGGTTAGGGAGGTGTGGCGTGGATTGGAGAGTCTAAAAAGGTGACATGCTGCCCAGTGGGGCTCATTAGAACCTTCTCGAAGGGAGAGTCTTCTAGGGCACAAGCCACCACTGCAGATCACCTGTTGGAAGTGTTCTCTAATGTCTATTTTGAATGGGGGAGATTCTGAGTTCAGTCTCTCTTGGCCGGGGAGAAAAGGACCCTCTTCCAGAAGTTTCCTGCCTTTTGTGGGATGAGAAGATTTGCTACTTAATATATTGTCATAGTAATTTGCATTTTGCTGCGTTCTTTTACTGGGCATAAGGTAGTCAAAATGTTATTTGGAAATCTGTTATCAATCAATCATGTCATTTCTAAAATAATTAGCTCCTCACAGCGTGATCCCTGTCTTGCTGTAGTCATGGCATGAACTTGGGGGGAAATCTGGAAGTTATCAGATTTTGAGAACATGCTCATCTGTGCTCTGACTCTACACATCTACTGTGAGAAGAAACACATTTAGGGACACCAAAAAATGGCTTCTGATCATGTGAAAATCTTATTACATAGCAGGCCATCCATAAATATGGAAACCTTTCCATTTCTTTTTATATTCTAGGAGAGCTTCAGAAAATGTAGAAATCAGGAAACTGATGTACAATAAAACATTTAATACCGAACTAAAACAATGATCATGGAAACAGTTATTTTAGGATATAATTCTGTATTCAACACCATATCACCATCATTTATAAAAAGTTATTTTAAGGTATAAAAGTAAATTCTTTGAACTAAGACAGTAAGAAATTAAATACAAATGTTTATGAAAAAAAACCTAGGAAAACGCATCACCTCAAAATTACTTGTTTTCTACGGTGTATCAAACTGGCATAACTTTTAACTGTATAGGTAGTGGGATTTGAAATCATTCTAGATTTCTGTGAGAAATTTGCCTTTATCTTTAAAATTCTGAGACATAAAAATTAGATTTATTTTATGCAGTGGCAAACAGAGGAAAATGTATACAGAATCATACATATTTTGTCTCCAGTTTAGAAGATTGTGAAGTTGGATGAGGCTGTCTCATGAGACTTATCTAGGAATGCTTATCTTTGATGAGAGAGAGAGAGTTGGACTTATTATATCCAGATGATGCACCATTGAAAAAATTAGAGACCCTCACTGTCTGTACCCAAACACAGCACAGATTCTCACAGGCCAATCTAGGTAGTATTCTTAGATTTACATCCTCTTTAGAGGCTCACTTTGTAGGGAGAAAAGAAAATCATTTTACTTTAGAAGGTGGTTGCAAGAAGTATTTACAATAAGTCAAAAAAGATCAAGATATCCTGTTCCAGGAAACTGTTAATATGTGTCATGAAATTTTGTGTGATCAATTAAGTTTGGCAAACACAGGCTAGAATCTGAAATAGAATTCTTCTTTACCAAAGGAATTTTTGTAGCACTCGCTATGCTCATCTGAATCGAGAGCCCTAAAGTGAAGAATCTAATATGCAGGAATTCTCAAACTCACTTGATCACAGAACTTATTTCTAAAGTCCCCTGAAGGGATTAGCATTTTGAGGAAAAGATTTTGGGAAATATGGGGCTGGATCACAGCTTGATGAGGATGTTATAAAAGGTGTTGTCCTGGTGTGGACTGGCTGCACCACAATTTGCTATTGATAATATTTGAAGACATAAATTTCTATAATTTATCTCATATCTACTGAATCAGTCATTTAATGGTAGGACAGGAGAAAACTCTATTTTAAATAAGTGTCTCAGATAATTTTCATGCTGGGGTTGGTTAGGTAAGGAACCTCTTGAAATTATATCGTATCTTCCTAGGTCACTGTGAACCATGATGCCATAATCTTCTCATAAAGCTCTTTCTATTCCCAGAACCTTCTTCAGAGAATTCTTCACTTCTGAGTTTCTCAGACTATAGATCAGTGGGTTGAGCATGGGATTGAATAGGCTGTGAAACAGCAGGAGATATTTCTTCTGCTCTTCGGGGTTCCCATCTTGGGGCCCAACATACATGATAATGGCTGTGCCATAAAAGAGTCCAACCACACAGAGGTGGGAGGAGCAGGTGGAGAAGGCTTTTCTTTGACCTTCCCCTGACTGGATCCTGAGGATGGCACAAAGGATACACACATATGAAACTACAATTGAGGACAAGGGTCCCACCAGCACAGAAATTGCTCCAGCCAAGACCATGTTTTCATTGATATGGGTGTCTGCACAGGCAAGTTTGAGTACAGCTATGATTTCACAGAAAAAGTGCTTGATTTTCTGGGGCCTACAGAAGGGTAAAGGTAGAAGTAACACTAAGTGAATCAAGGCTAGAAAGACTCCAGTGGTCCAAGAAGTCACTGCTAGGATGGTGCAGACTCTCCAGGTCATGATGGCAGAATATCGGAGGGGGTGGCAGATGGCCACATACCGGTCATAGGACATCATCACCAGGAGAAGACATTCTGTGATAGCGAATGTCAAAAAGAGAAAGGTCTGCATCATGCAGCCGGCAAAGGAGATGGGCTTGGCTGGGTCCAGGAGGTTCACCAGCATCTGGGGCACTGTGCTGCAGGCATAGGCCATGTCCACGATGGCCAGGTGTGAGAGGAAGAAGTACATGGGGCTGTGCAGTCTGGAGTCCAGGAAGATGAGGCCCAGGATGACCCCGTTCCCCAGCAAAGTGAGGACATAGAACAGGGAGAAGAGCCCAAAGAGAAGCATCTGAATCTTTGGGCCAAGGGGAAATCCCAGGAGCAGGAACTCTGTGATGGTTGTTATATTGTCTCCCATATCCCTATGACAGAGCAAATTGAGTTAATGTTCACAGTTTAAGAGAAGTGCTTAAAAACTGATTTATTTAAACTGGTTTGATACACTTTTGTGGGGCAGAGAAGTGTTCAGAGACAGCTGCAATGAATTTTTCTGTTCTTAAATGAATATTTAAAGACTATTTGGTAACCCTAAAATAAAATTTAAGAACATATACATATATATACACACCTGCACACATATATTTTTCCTTTTTGGATGTTAATATTTTTAACAGAAGCTAAAATTTCAAAATAAATATATCATCACATGTTAATCTAATACACAGTTTTTCTTTGATTCAGTAAACTATCCTGTATTCTTCAAATAAATTCTGCTTTTCTTTGCTTATATTATGCAGTTATTACTGTTATTTTTCAGAAACAAGACATGCTAACTGAAACACATGCCAAAGTCTTAAAAATGCATTAAGTATAACCTTAGATTGGAAGGTTTTATTAAGGGCAGGGTACAGTAAAGTTAGATATATCATTAGCCAAATTCCCCACTGCCCATTCATTTCTTACCTGCCTGTCTAAACACACTTTTCACATCCTCACCAATTGTTACCTCCACAATAAATATCTTACAAAATCTCTTCTTATTCAAATGTAAAGACTTATTTTCAGCCTAAGATCTTACTTTTTGTTATTTAGTTTTTTATGATTAATATTGAGATGAGCATTTATGTGAATGACTGAATAGATTTGCACTGCCATTATCTAAACATGAAAACAGGACCTATAACTTTTGTTGGAACTTGGCTTAATATTGATAATCACTCTAGAATACCCAGTTTTAAGCACCGTCTCTGCAGGTGATTGGCAATAGTTAGATGACTTCTATGAGAAATGCTGAAGAAGGTGTCTCCAAATCCTTTTAGGGATTTATCTAAATCATCTTTGATTCCACAAATATTAATAAAACATAAGTACAAGCATAACATTGCCCTTTTTGTTTAAATGTTATTCTCATCCTTTTTATGTAGAATCATCTTGTCTTGGAAACAAAAGGGATGAGAAAGAATTCTCAATTTAAATTGCCATAAGGTTATAAATTTAATACGACAAAACACATTAAGTCATTCCCTTTGCTTTGACACTCTCCCACCACCATTCCAAGGATGAGTGTCATGCTCATGTAAGTATTTATTGATTTACCTAACATTCTGAGGGTGGGATTATCAGTGATCAAAACTCAGCTCCTGGTCATTGCGCAGACTCTGTGTGGCCTCGTAGGAGGCATGTAATTAGTACATAATCATTTGTATACTTATTTATTTGACTTGCCTCTGTATATGACACTTCAAGCCTATTTATTTTTTTTTAAAGTAAAGTTTGGGCCTTTTTTGTTAATATTAAATATTTGCCAAAGAGTCATTTTCACATGCATCTCTCTTTATCTTAAAAAATAGCTGTCAGCCAAAAATTACCATTAACATATTAATTATATTACTATATGAATTAATACCACATTCATAACCATTACTATATTTTACTATGATTATGCTATTTATCTAAAACTTTCAATGAGCAGAATTTGAGCATCAAAAGAGTAAAAATGTACTTTTGCATGGTATTAAATTGTGACAATCAAAGCTAACAAGCAAAGGAAATGATGTTAGATTATCTTTGACCAGAACTCACAAAGGCAATTAGGAAATCTGGGTTCCCAGAGATGACTGTTGTAGGACCTCGATAATCTTCATGCAGCAAAGGCAAACACTCCTACAGGGTGGCTGAATTTACTGACGGCTTTGGAAGCCTTGCTGCTTGCCTGAGAACCATCAAGGAAGGATCTTAGCTCTTCACGTTGTCTTTGAGAAGAAGGCTTTATTAATTCATCACCTCCACAGGGTACCTTCCCAATTGTCATGAGAGCTTGGTGTAGTGCATGAGAAAATAGGTCTCACTTGCACCAGCATGGTTTCTATAGAGACGTGAAGAATCCAAAGTTGTTATTCTTCCAGAGGGCAGAAGAGTGATCCTGTCTCTGAAAAAAAAAAACAAAAACAAACAAAAAAAAAACATAGAGATAGTGAGATCAAGGTTAAGGTGAAAATAGGAAATACTTTCATAACTAAAAGGATCATATATGTAAAGTCATATCCTAGGGCCACACGAGTATTACAGCTACCCAAATGTGTGAATTTGTTAGAGTTTCCTGAATTTTTATGTTGTTTCACTCTCCAAACCTTCAGGAGGTTTTGAAGATGAAGATCCAAGGGATTGTTTGACAGTGAAATAAAATCTTGACATTAATTTCTGCAGTCATATTTCTTTTAGTGTAATCTGATTTCCCAACCACCCTAAATCTAGTAGGAGAATAAACGCGATTTACAAGGTCTTAATCATTAAGCATTTTATTTTTTGATTATTTATTTTTTTAATTTTAATTATTATGAGTACATAATACTTATTTATCTTTATGGGGTACATGTGATGTTTGATACTGGTGTACAACGTGAATTAATCGAAACAGGATAATCGAGACATTCATCACCTCAGGCATTTGTCATTTCTTTCTGTTAGGAACATTCTAATTCTATTCTTTTAGTTATTTTAAAGTGTACTCAAACTTATTGTTGATTATAGTCAGTTTGTTGTGCTATCAAATATTGCTCATTCTATCTAACTGTATTTTTGCACCTATTAACCATCCCCACTTTATCACTCCCCCCACCCCTGCTACGCTTCCCAGTCTCTAGTAACCATTATTCTACCCTCTGTGTTTCAGTACCTCTGGTATAGGTTGCATGTACTATTTTATTTAATCCTATGAATTGGTTGATATTGTTAACCCAGGATACACATGTGGATTGTGAAGTTTGGGAAATGAGTAAATTGTCCATAGTCCAGTAGTCACCAGCACAAAGAATGAATTTTATGCACAGATACCAACTCTCCTGTTTCTGACTACTGAACTCATTTTTTCAATGACCCTGAAGTGCATCCTTACCAACTCTCACCAGTTCTTGTAATTCTCGAGAATTCCTATTCATTTTGCCCTGGATATGACTCTTCATCTCAGGAGAGAATAACTTACCTTTCTGTCTCTGGCTGTAAGAGTCTTCAGATTACAGTTTATATGACTCTAATCTCAACAATTTCTTCAAAATGTTTCTGCTGTCCAGCAGTTCTAAAATTGATGCTCAAGAGCTGCCCCATTGGGTAGGTAATAGAAGAAGGCATTGGAATTAGTTTTCATTTATTCTAATACATTTAAATCTATATAAGGCTTGCACATTAATATTTAAGAAATGCAAATTAGTTCCTTCAAATGTACTTTATTAGTGAAAAGCAGAACCCGTAAATTTAGTGATCTGATGGCTGAGATAGATGAACCACAGATAATAGAATAACTGTGAAACTGTAGCACATTATCTTCTTAAAATTATTTTATAATGATAACCAAATGAGATAACACATTTTTAATAATTTATACTCTTCTTTATACATCCCCTAATTCACTCTCTAGCAGTATTCAATCCTTATAAATCTTTCATTCAATTCAATATACATATATGTTTTCTACTTTTAATATTCTATGTGTCAGAAGAATGCCTACATTAATGCTTATGTTCTTCATTTTAAGAACCTTATACTCCCAGTGGTCATATAAAATTTACATGCATCACCTAGTTGAGAATAAATATAAAGCAATGATTAAAGGCTAAAAAGATGAGTAAAAATTAGAAATGGGATATAAATTTCACAGAGAAGGAAATCAGTGTGAGCAGATTGGAAGAGCATACTAGAATTTGATCAGGAAAGATGAATGAAATTTGGCTGGAAAGTTTTTATTCCTTTTTTTCCTTCTTTCCCTAACATAGATCTGATGATAACACCTTATGAATGCTTTTCTTCTTATGACAACCTATCAAGTTTCTGTGTTCTTCTCATTTCCCTATTTTCTAGCATAGATTTTTTATTTCTTCATATATGGATTGCCAAAATAGCCTGGTATGTTCTGAATTAGGTATCTTTCCTGTGTCAGCTTTATTCTTGTGTACTGTCAATAATATAATTTCCTTTACATGCTACCTTTTAGAATTCAGTTTGTCTTGTTAGAGATCTTTCAATGTCCCTATTTTCTCAAAATGCCCAGACCCTCCTAATTGTAGTTATGCATAGTAAAGCTCATGTAAAACTCAAACATACTTAAAAATGTGAACTATATTTATGTTTCACAAATAAAGACAGTAAAAAGAGATTGTTTTGCTTAAAATTATGGAGGACACAAAATGAAGACAGCTGAAGCATTCTTCATATCATATCATATATTATACCAAAGAATTCATATCATATAAAATATTTTAAAGAATGATACAACTAATAGGAATTTAATATAAAGAATTAGCAGAGGAGGATAATAAAGGGAAATTGGCTGTCAGTATAAACTGGAAAAATAATATGTTCATAACTTTGACTCAGTGAAAAAGTCTCTGAATAAGGGTCATCCATACCTGCCTCTAAGAAAATGCAGAATGTCAATGATACTAGTTTAGATATTTTTGTAAATAAACCAAAGCCTCCAAGAAATCCTACAGGAATGAGCATCTGAGGGAAACAGAAAAGAACCTATAAGAGCTTCTGAAAACTCCTAGGGTTCCTGGTACAATCTAAGCAGACTGCCACCTAGTGCTTCAGGAAATTTCTGAACTAAGAAATAGGTTGGTAGGATGGAATCAACAGATTATAGTTTTCTGGCCTCTGACCTCTACACTAAGAGTGGTAGTGATCTTCCTTTGCCTTTGTAAGCGCTTCGGGTGTGACATAAGATGAAAGTCTAGACTTCAGCTCATCCCCATAACATACTGAATAGTCACATAACCAATGGCCACACTAGATTATGAGTTCACAGACCAAAATGACTGGAAATCTACAAAAAATAATTGAAAACCGTAATAGCTTTACAAGATCTATCTATACAAATATTTTAACAGGCCACCAGGAAACGAATATAAACAAAATAAATAAACTAAAATATCATATTGATTACTTCAATTTGATGATGGAGTACTTCTGTGCATGTCAAATTTATGCTTTAATGAATCCGATAGGTCTAGTTCCTTCTGGGCATCACAGGCTACCTGGTCATGTAGAACTGTCTTTGGGCACACAGTCTCTACCAGGGCTCAGGATCAAGCCAGAAGCTGTGTCTCAAGAGAGAACAGTTATTTTTACTAAAATGATTTTTCTCCAAAAAATAGATGTTTGTTTGTTTTTATCTTTTAGGGGTTTATAAAAGGAACCATATTACATCCGTATTTCCCACATGCATATTTAGTTGCATTCAACCTGTTTAGACCAGATGCAGAATCTTCGCTGGTTCTAGGCTTCATTCTAAATTGGAAGTCTATTAATTTCTTCATTATAAATTGGAAGTCTATGATACATATGTATACACATACACATATCATATATGTATATCACATATCATATATATGCGTGTCTGCATGTGTATAGATATTGCATTTCTATACACAAACAAGCTGAAAAGGAAATTAAGAAAACATTACCATTCACAATAGCAACAAAAAGAATAAAATATTTAAATAAAGAGATGAAAGATTTCATCACTGAACATTATAAAACATTAGTGAAGGAAACTAAAAAAAAAACACAGATAAGTGGAAAAATATCACATGTTCATGGATTAGAAGAATTAAAATTTATAAAATGTTTATAATGCCAAAAGTGAGCTAAAGATTAAATGCAATCCCTATCAACAACTGTATTCTTTATAAAAAATGAAAAATGAATCCTAAAACTCATATGAAACTACAAAAAAACTTAAATAGCCAAAGCAATCTTGAGCAAGAATAAAGCTGGAGGCACCACAATTATTAATTTCAATATATATTTCAAAGCTACAATAATCTAAACAGTGTGGTATTGGCATAAAAACAGATACATAGATCAATGGAACAGAATACAGAGCCAGAAATAAATCCACATACCTATGGTCAATTGATCTTTGACAAGGGTGCCAAGAACATACAATGGGGAAAGGATAATCTGTTTAATAAACAGTGTTGGAAAAACTGGATGCATGTGGATATCCATATGCATAAATTGGACCCTTGTTTCACATCATACACAAAACTCAACTCAAAATGGATTAAAGACTTAAATGTAAGACTTGAAACTATAGAGCTATTACAAGAAAATGGGAAAAACTTCTTAATACTGGTCTGGAAAAACAACCCTAAAAGCACAGGCAACAAAATCAAAAATAGACATGTAAGATTGCATCAAACTAAAAAGTTTCTTTGCAGCAAAGAAAACAATCAACAGAGTGAAAAGGTAAACTATAGAATAAAAGAAAATATTTCAAATCATATATCTCATAAGGGGATAATATCAAAATATATAAGGAACTCATATAACTCAGTAGCAAAAATACAAATGGGCAAAGGACCTAAATACACACCTCTCAAAGGAGGATATACCAATGGCTAATAGGTGTATGAAAAGGTGCTAAACTTTAAACATCAGGGAACTCTAACTCAAAACCACAATGAAATATCACCTCACACCCAGTTAGAATAGCCATTATCAAAAAGATGAAAGGTAACAAGTGTTGGTGAAGATAATGGAGAAAAGGAAACACTTACACACTCTTCCTGGGAATGTAAATTGGTACAGCCCTTGTGGAAAAGAGTATGGGAGTTTCTCAAAGAATTAGAAATAAAGCTATTTCTTATCTTCTTACTGGTGTATTTTTCCAAGGCATCCAAATATTAGCTATTTCCTTCTGTTCAAATGCAAAGAGCTTGGTTTTAACAATGTTGTGGACTGGAGCTATATTTTGTGGAATGGAGAGATTATCTTGATCCCCACGGACTCAATAATGAAGGTGAGTGAGAGAGGCTGACATTTTCTAAAGTGAAAAAGTGGAGCTAAATGCATACTGGTATTTCTTTAGGTGAAAGCAAACTGCTTTTGATGGTCTTTGCTAATTGGTATAGAGAAAAAAATAAAGCATTTGCCAAGAGAATAATATGCACCATGTAATACAGGCTATGTTGATTTTTTTTCTGGCTGAGATGCCAAATTTATATCAGCAATGGCAATTCAAGTCACCGCATGATTAAGTTTATGATAATCCATAATTGTCATTTCCTAATATCTATGTTATCTGAATAGACCAAATTGGCAGGTTAAATTAAAATGTGATTAAAATCACTATGACTTCATTCTTACTGCATTTT